AGTTTTGTGAACCTATGGAAAATAGTATGAAGATAATCATCAATGAAAAAAATTAAATAAAGTAATCAGTTGGCTATATCCATGAGTCGCGAGCTGATTTCATGCGACCACAAACAAAGAGAACGATTGAACGTTGATCAGCAAGAATAATCAATAGAAACTGAAAAAGTAAGAAAAAAAATGATTTTATTGTTGAAATCATGGACGCAACGTTAGTTTATAAATTTGATGCGTTTGAATCCAGATTCATTTTTGAGCATTTGTCGTGATGATGGCAAACTTCGATATCAGATTGATGAAAAATCGAGTTCAATAACATAAATGTGAAGATCTTAACAGAGTAACTACTCATTATCATAGAATTGTTCCTTTTCCAGTTTCAAGCTGATTCTCTCTCACTGACGCAATTTATCAATGCGATGACATGCACATTTGACGAAAAGGCAAAATATGAATAATCTCCTTTCAATCTATTGTTAACTATTGATTACAGGTCGAAAAGCAAATGTCATGGTCGAGTAAACCTGTTCAAAAGATCGTAGCCGATTCAATTTCTGCATAGTGACACTTAATAGTGTGACACTGATGCAACAATACATGATTTCAAAAAAGTAATAAAACTATTCTTATTTTCTGATTCAATCGCGAGCTTTCGTGCTTGCATTCATTCAACGCACATATCTTTTAAATGCTCATTACTGTCTTCCACGATCCAGCACAAATCTGAGAAGTCTAATCGAAAGCATGATTTTTCATAGTAATGTTTACAGAACAAATGCGATTGTCTCCTTACAGATTTTGAGAAATATCCTAAATCGATGACTTTAAATGCCGCTGAAAATTCAACTTTGGCATTAGTGCATTTTTTGTAATTAACATGACTTGAGTTAGACATGAGTTGACTGATAAACAAAATATTTTTGGAAATGTGATTATATAATATGAATTGCCCCTACCATTTATATGGTGAGTAGCAATATAGAAAAAATTTCAGAAAAAGAAAATAATTAAAGAAACAAGAAAAACATCATAAATGTGATACATTTACATCAGTCACTTCGAGAACATCCAGTACGGGCAACCAGCTCCGAAGGACACTGTACTTTAGAGTAAACCATAGTAGGATTGTCAGCTCCCTTAAACCAGTCGAATCTAAATAGGCACCCATCTCGAATAGCTGCGGGAAGACTATAGCAATCTTGACGAGAAGAAACACCACCAAGGCGCTGACCCCACCCATCAGATGGTGCATTCCATTGGGAACTACAGGCGTTATAGATTCCGACACCTCCTCCAGGAATTTGCAAGTCAAATTGATTTGGGTGCACATCCGAACCACTATTAACAACCTGAACAATCATTGACTTTCCAACAACTGGACCACTTGTGAAATCCAATTTATAGCAAGCGCAGCAACGTTGTTGCTCCGTTAATCCTGGAATTGTAGCAGCAGCGAATCCATAAGCAAGTTGATCATTAATAGCCCATGGTATTTGATTGTTGCACACAAAGGCATTACCACCATCACATCCACTAAGTGTATTTCCATCATTCCAGCTAGTGTAGCCGTCTTTTTGACAACTTTTGACATAAGTATTTGACCCAGATACTTTGCCAGGCCAAGCACAGCTGGGTTTACAGCAGTCCCAATATCGAGTAGTAAATCCTGAAGCTTGACCTATTGGACCACCAACCACTACACCACAGACCATAGTTGAATCACTGGTTGAGACAGCATCACTTTTGGAAACCGCACCCGATTTCATCCAGCAAGTACCACCATTATATTGAGTCCATGTAAAGTGAGTACATCCTTGAGTTTGAGAACATTTTCCACCGCAAAGATTTGACGCAATTTGGACGTTAGATAGATCATTTCCACGGAAATCACATGACATGGCCCAGTTATTTCCATTCCACTGGATGCTACTTTGTTGACCACCATCCATTACACCACAGACCATAGTTGGATCGCTCGTTGAGACGGCATCACTTTTGGAAACTGTACCTGATTTCATCCAACAAGTACCACCACTATATTGAGTCCATGTAAAGTGAGTACATCCTTGAGTTTGAGCACATTTTCCACCACAAAATTGTGATGCAATTAGAACGCTAGACAGATCACTTCCACGGAAATCACATGACATGGCCCAATTATTTCCGTTCCAGTTGATATCACATTTGACGCAACCAAGAATCAAAATATTTACTACCATATATCCAACCAAAGTCCAACTAGATAGAATATTGATCATTTTGTGATTCTAATTGTAGTTCAGTCAGTATTTGTAGATGACTTCTGAAATTAAAAAAAAATTATTTTCTATCATTAATCAAAAATCATGTTTAGAAAATCTCATTCGTTATTTGAATATGACACGAGAGCTCTACAGAAGCACTATACTATAGTATTATATGAACTTACGAATCTTTCAATATCTTATTAGACTTTTTATTAGCTATTACCAGCATTAAAGAATATTCATTAAAAAAAGGGAATGTTGTACATGCTTGTCTTAGGTTACCTACAAATCATGACAACTTTGCTTATAAAAAGCTGTGTCGACAAGTTCACATTCTTTAAATGGTTCCCAAGAAAATTTTACAGATATTGATACAAACTCAGCTGGTCTAAGACGACATATGAATATTAATATTAGCTTGCAGAATAATAGTGAGTGCTTCGGAGTGAATATTTTTGTTTCCGACCTTGATTGAAAATAAAATATTGAAAATTGCTGAAAATGTTTGGTTCGGAGCTGTAGAAAGTTAGTGAAAATTCGAAAATCAGTATACTTGACATGAAATCTATAGAATATGTTTATTGAAATGAGTATTCCTCATCCAGTAGTCTAACTCATTAGC